CATATTCATATATTCATATATATGAAGGTATGCTCTTGAAAACCTGACACCTGAAATCCTCAACAGTGGTCTTCATACCTTTAAATTGCTATTAATGATTTGAAAATTGAATATTACAGCAAACGAAAAGAAGTCCTGGTGAGAAGCGATGTTCCTATAGTCGTTCTAGAAGACTGTGAATGTACGCATTCAGCATACGCAAATCACACTACACACCAGGATTCGAACGCAAAGTTTCATTTCATATACAAGAACAAGTAGAAAGAACCAGACTAGGCATGTACACATAGCAACTTCAGCGTGAAGGATAGAAACATCTGACAATACCTTTCAAATTGATGTTCATGGTCATATCCCATACGCTCTCCTCAGTAGTCTCGGCGTTATCATCCTTGGGGTGCATGATTCCTGCATTGTTGAACATAATATTCAACTTGCCGAACTTCTCTTCGGCCGTGGCCACCATAGCTTTGACATCAAATTCTTTGGAAACATCACAGTGCACGTAGACCGCCTACGGAACGTGGGTTGTAAGAAATTTTCAAACATGTTAGCTTGAAAAGATCCTTGATTTTAATAGAACAAAAAAATCGAGACATTATACATAGTACACGTTGCATGATCGCAATTGTGGCTGCAATTTAACTCACTTCTCCGCCTGCCGCTACCACTTTGGCCACAGCTGCCTTGCCCGCCTGATCATTGACGTCCGCACAAACGAGCTTAGCCCCTTCTTGTGCAAACAGACTGGCTGCTTGGTAGCCAATCCCACTGAATAATTAGAAAAATGTAATTAAAACTTGTTTATAGTACGCACATTGCGATCAAACATACATATTGGGTTCCCAAACCATTCAGTCAACTATAATAGGGAGTGATTGCAAATGATCGACGATAGAATATAGAATCTGAATGGAGAATCCAAAATAACAATTAGAGAGCAAAGACATAAGCTACACTACGTAGTTATAGTATAAAACGAAAGCTTGTCATACGTCTCGATATACAAATCAATCGGTAATCGTATCCTGTACCGCAAAGTGTGTGGTGAAATGCCAAGGTAAGAGACACAGTGCAGACATCAATAGTAAATAATATATCAAACTCTATGGCGGCTGAAGACATTCTTTCTATCGAGAAACTTTTTTTGTCCATTAAGTCATGTTGTATATCAAATAGGTGCAATACATACGCATGCGACTCGAAATAGTATTCCTAAGAACCCGCTTTTGTTACTTATAAATATGTGTATGTGGATATATAAATACTTAACATATGTATTCGCATACATGCATGTATTCGCAGTACAATAGTGATACCTAATATACGATGGCAAACACAAAACAAAAGCAGGGCCCACCACAAACTAGACACTCCCGCTATGAGCTATTCGGAACCTCCGAAGTTCAGAAGAATAGGATGCGAGGCTCGATACACACAACAGATAAGTTTCACAAGTGAAGACACGCTTCACGGTACAAGGGTATTCTCATATTCATACCATAATCTAGACAACAGAGATTCTTTGACAAATTTAGTCCAGTAAGCGTAAGCATCTAAACCCCATAGAGGTGATGCTCCCGCTACCGCTAAAAGTTATGATGAAATCGTGCTTATTTCATGTTCATATGGATACTTAATCCTACTGTACCTGCTAGCATACGTGTATAGCACTTACCCGCCAACTCCGGTGATCACGGCCACTTTTCCTTCTAGTCTTCCCGACATGCCTGTCAAATCTGGTTTACTACAAGCTCTTCAATAACTTATCTTGATTAAAGGGTTGTGCTATATATTCAATTATTAAGTATAATAACAAGAAGAGAGATAAATAAATAAAATAGAACTTGATCACGTCAACCCTACATTATGAGTTTATGACATCCTCAATCCGATAAAAGATTTTTGTGGTGCTTTCAGGTGGAGGAAAAGAGAAAGAACAAGAAAAAATGGGGGGAAAGAATGGAAACGAAGGGGGAAACAACAGGGCAAAGAAGAAAGGTAAAGAAAACACAGAGGGAAAGAATGGAAAGGAAGGGGGAAACAACAGGGCAAAGAAGAAAGGTAAAGAAAACATGGGGGGAAAGAATGGAAACGAAGGGGGAACAAAGGG